TGCGTCATCACAATACAATTTATTGTGAAAATAAAAAGGGTACTTTTCCGTTTTGCCGGCGCAAACGATAAAGTCGCCAATAATGGTACAACTGATGCCAAACGGAATATCTTCGCTAGTAACCTTTTACGCTTCATTTTCAAAACAAGTCGCAGCCATTTCTTATAAGATTGATTGTTTCTTTCAATACTGGCATGCAATTGCATAAAATTTTTACCTAGATAGCTAAATTTTATGCCCTAAGACCATTCGCGGTAATTAAGTTAATTAGGATGCAATCACACCCGAAGCCGAAAATATAGAAAAGGCAAAATCAAGGGTTAAATTCAACAATTCTAATGAGAATGCACTAGCGAAGTAAAGCAAGGCGGTTTTACATAATTTCTGAGTAAGCTATTCGTACGAGTTGAAATAATTCTTGCATTTAAACTTGTATTCTATATTAAGATTTAATTTGAAATTAATGTAGATAATTACTGAGAGAATTCGTTTTTTTGTAGCGTAGTTTACGCGAGATGAGATCACTTGGGGTCACGTGATAGAAACCGGCGAATCGGGATGTTGAACCATGAAAGCATAGTAAATTTTAAATTAATGTGTTTTTACAAATTTCTTGTCTTTATTTACTAGCTTTTTACAAAATTTTGAACCATATTAAAATGTTTATGCCTTCAAAATAAAAAATTCTTAGAACTAACATTTCTTAACATTTTTTATGTGCATACTCTATGCTGTCGCCAACAAAGTCTGCTTGGCGAGATTTGCGCCGGCGAAACGGAAAAGTACCATAAAAAGTCTTATGAAGCAGTTATTAAAATCAGCTTACGAATAGCTCGTATTTTATCCACGAGAGGCATTTCCCGATGGCGAATTAATTAAACCATATTTGCTTGTGCCAGCCGAATAAATGTCTTCAGAAAAAAGAGGTATGTTTCGATCTGTCAGTTTTTGCGCGAGAACAACTGTTAGAAGACTTGAGGACAGTGGGAGCCAACATCAAGTGTCAAGTAACAGACAAGGCAAAAAAATTCAAATGGTTTTCGTTGGCTATTGATGGGTCGACAGATAATTACTGATGCTGCCCAATTAGTGGCGTTTATAAGAAGGGTCAATGCTGAATTAAGTGACTGGCGAATTAGTTTCAATGAATAATCTGCGTGAAACAACTAAAGGTGAAGATATCTTCAAGGAAGTCGAGGAAACGTTAACACAGTACAATTTATAATGGAATCGGTTAAAATGTGTCAGAACTGATGGTGGCAAAAATATGTTTGGAATGGAGAAAGGATTAGTTGGACAAATTTTTAAGGCTTGTGAAGTTGCTAAAAAATGGTTAAAAACTGGTAATTCCATTGTGTTATTCACTAGCAAGTTCTTTGTGATAAACGCTTCAATCTGTCGTATTGAACCAGCTATATCAGTAGTAAATTTTATTCGCTTTCGTTACTTCACCATCGCCAGTTTCGTGAATTTTTATTAGAGATCGAAGCTGAATATCTTGACTTTCCTTATTGGTACAACTCTGCGGTGGATCAGTAATGGGAAAGTTTTGTTTGAGATTCTTCGAACTGCGGGAAGTATTATATTTTTTCCTTAGATATGAGAAAAATGTACACAAACTTCATTATCGAACTGGGAATAGCTACAGAAATTAGCATTTGCCACAGATGTCGTAGGATAGCTCAACGAATTCAGTTTAAAATTACAGAGGAAAACATTACTCGTATGTGAAGCGTATTCTATCGTAATGGCATATGGCTGAAAATTTGTGCTGTTTGAAATGCAAATAATATTAAACAAATTTGACCATTTTTCATGCTCTAAAAATTTCAAATGTTAGCGAAATCCCCATTTCCCAAAAAAATTTACACCTTCAGACTTTCAACTGAAAGCGATTAATTTGCAAAATTGATGATATGTTTAAAATAATATTAAAAAAAAAAAAAAAGGATTTAACACAATTTTATAAACATTTTTCGGAAGATAAACACTCCCAATTAAAATCAAATCATATGCACTGGGATGGATATCTGTACTGGGAATACTTTACCAAAGCGAAAAGACATTTTCGAAAATGAAGTATATAAAATCGCAATTCAAATTATTGTTAACAGATGACCATTTGCAAACAACTTTAATGGTAAGAAGTACTAATTTCTAACTCCAGTATGATGAAATATTATCTCAAAAGCAATTTACATTCTTCGCATTAGAAATTGTAATCTATTTAAAACTTTTTTTAATATGTAAATGTTAACCGTTTATTCGTTTTTTTTTTTTTTTTTTTTAGTCCAAAGGGATTTGAATCCCGAAGGACTATTAGTTTCGTTTTGGCATTTTGCGTCGGACGGATAAATGTCGGTTCACTTTTCAAACTGTTGCCACAAAATGTTAGAGTCCTGCATTATATTTGAAGAAATTAAATAATGAAAAATCTGCATAAATGTATGTATATTTCTCGTATTGTGATAAAACAACGGTACATAGAGTCATCGAATTTTGAATAACGTAATCCTCCAACGAATATGAGCATGTGGAAGACCAAATTTGAAATTTGAAATTTGTTTTATGATCGATTTCCTATTTTTTAAAACTTTGACGAATTTTTGATTAACAAACTCAAGGATTTCAAAGCGAGCAATGGCAACGTTGTGCAGAAAAACATTTTTATCTCCAGCGCGTGAGTCTCTGTATCGGAAATTCTAAAGATATGCTCGTTTTAAAACTATTTTGCGATATTGCTGTTGCACTGGATCTTATGGTTTAAGTGCGAGGAACATGATATTTAATAAAGAAAGGTAACACACAAAATGTTGAAAAACGCCCCTTTGGACGTAATTTAAAATCTGAAACATTTCAGTTTTTTTTTTTTTTTTTTTTTTTTTTTTTTTTTGTTTTTTGTGTAAATATTAGTAAAATGTAAATGAATATTATATCCGTAACTTATTCTCGGTGATGACGTTTCTGTTTGTAGATTGCCAAACATGAAATCCTTTGACTTCTGAAAAGTCACGTACAACGAGCGCTTGAATATCGTCAGTATTCGGATGACACCAGAAAATCTGTGAACGTGTCAAACAGTTCAAAATCTAATACGTAATATTCAAACTTACGTCAATATTAGAAATTTAAGCATTTTTGGTGAAGTATATCATATATAACAAAGCAAACAAAGCACGCGACATCGGTAGGTACGTACTGTCTTAATATTTGCATGGTTCAGTAATGCATAATATGTATTATGCTATTGTAATACGTATTGCACTTTTCATTATGCAAAGTATAAAATGTTGGCATTATCTTATGTCTTTCCAAAAAACCTTCCTCTTGAATTTATTTCAGAAAACCTTGTTTTCGCGGGAGTCTTCCTGTTTGCTAAACTGGCAATGCTTTCGTACCTTAATCACATTTATGGCAACACGAAAATCTCTTAAACTATACACGTGTACAGTAAGACTCTGCTTAACGCTGTTTCGTTTAGCGCTGTTTCGGTTTAGCGCTCTTTTATTTCAACCCGGGGATTCTCCGAAATTGTGCGCAGCGCTAGGTTTCCAAATAACATATCCGAAACAGTGTAGTTGTGTTTCTTGCTTTTTATCATTTGAAACAACATTTGTTGACATTATTGTAAGTTTGTATAATACTATAACGATTAATACAGTGACAAATATTATGATCTTTAGTTTTTATCATGGGTGATAATAAAAAACAAGAAAAAAAGCAACCAGAAAAAGCATTTCACTGGAAACTCAAATGCAAGTGATTAGAAGATTAGATTCTGGTGAACGTCAATCTCAAATTAGCGCTGCATTGATTTTGGCAACTTACACAATAAAGACAATTCTTAAGAATAAAGAAAAAATACTGTCATCGGCAACTGCAACTACGTCAAGCTCTGCAACTAGAATTCTAGAAATAACATTATAGAGGAAATGGAAAAACGACTGTCTATATGGATTGACGACGAAATTGAAAGCAATATGCCATTAAGCCAATCTATCATAATGCCTTCTTAACAAAAAGGCAGAAAATTGGAAACCCAGAATAGACTGAATGATCTGACTGAGAATTTTATTTGTTTTTAAAAGTATATGCGTTTTATATTGTTTTTATTTTTGTAAGAAATAAATGTTTGATTTTATTTTTATTAAAAAAAACATTATTAAATTTAATGCCTAACCATTTTTTATCCGTCTTCCCCTAACCCCATTATTTACATGTTCAGATAGCCTCGCTTAGCGCTGTTTCGCATTACGCTCTACTTCGATAGAACGTATCTCCCGCGTTAAGCGGGGTCTTACTGTACTTCCATTTATTCCATGTCCAAGCGAATTTCCCCCACATATCTGGTGCTGTTGAATGTTGTCTGTAAATATATTTCATTCTTCCAGACTGGTGGCCCATGACTTCATAATTGTGTTCCTTCATTCGCCTGGCCAGAAGTGGCATCACAGGATTTTGAAATAGGGCATCTCCTGAACCGCACAGTGTATTAAAACAATGCCAACGATATTTTCTTTCATTTGATCTTTTTAAATATGTCACCCAACATCTTCGAATTTCTCTAAGATTATATTAGGTGGAATGGAAAATAGAAATCATCAAATTGCGATACATTTTATAAGTGTTGCAAGAAAATGTCTTCAATGTGTTATATTTAAATAAATACTGTGGAAATGATAATTTAGAAATATTTTGCATATTATATGTGAGTTTAACGCACTTCTAAGATCTGTATTGACAGTATCGGACCACTATTTTAACTTTGTAAATAGAAGTTCTGAAATCTTCTGTTCTTGAATCTGTGGTATTATATATGTTTCGTTTATTCGTAATTATTTAGATAGGTCTTTCACTGACACCAAAAATACCCATTCCTATTCTTTACAATGAGTTCCTTTTTAAAAATGTGACTGTGAGTAATATTTAACACAATTTCATATAACTATAGCATATTCAGCTTTTGTTTTGGAAGCTGAAACTTCAAATTTGTATTGCAGATGACTGTGGGAAGACGTTGGTCTCTTTATCTTTCATTTTAACTAGTAAGTAAAAATTTTTTAATTCTTGAATTATATATACAGAATGTATTTTTAAATGATTTTAAATTACTAAAATAGTCGGTACTTTTCCGTTTTGCCGGCGCAAGCAATAAAGTCGCCAGTAATGGTACAACCGATGCTAAACGAAATATTCTCGCTAGAAACCTTAACCTTTTACTTTAACTTTTACATTTTCAAAACAAGTCGCAACCATTTCTTATCAGATTGATTGTTTCTTTCAATACTGGCATACAATTACATAGAAGTTTTACCAGATAGTTCAATTTTATGCTCTAAAGCCATTCGCGGGCGGTTATTAAGTTAATTAGGATGCGATCACACCGCTCACCCGATGGCGAAAATATAGAAAAGGCAAAGCCAAGGGTTAAATTCATCCATTTTAATGAGAATGCACTAGCGAAGTAAAGCACTGCGGTTTTAATTTCTGAGTAAGCTATTCGTACGAATTGAAATAATTCTTGCATTTAAACTTGATTCAAATTAAGATTTACTTAAATTATGTAGTAATTACTGAAGAATTATATTTCTGTGTGTAGTTTACGTGTGAATGAGATCACTTGGGATACGAACGATCGCCGAATCAGGATGTTGTAGGATGAAAGCATAGTAATTCTTAAATTAATGTATTTTTACAAATTTATTGGCTTTTTTACAAAATTTAAACGACATTAAATGTTTATCTCCCTTCAAAATAAAAAATTCTTAGAACTAACATTTATCAAACTTTTATGTGTATACTGTGTGTTTTCGCCATAAATCTACTTGGCGAAACGGAAAAGTACCAATATTGAATTTTTTAGCTTTGAATTTATACATATTAATATTTTAAATTAAAATAAAATAATTTCTATGTGTATTTTAAAATTAAAATAATTACATTTTCTCAGGACATCAAAAAAAATGTTATTGTGAAGGTAAACTCCTAATAAATATATATAAGCGGATTTCAATTTTTGCACATTCCATTTTGACACAATTCATTATTTCTCACATTTTTAAAAATTCAATTTTTTTAAAGACATTTGTCCCCTCCCCGATATTGCAAAACCTGCCCTCGATTCCTTATACTTACATGTTGATATAAGTGGGGCTCTATGCGAGTTAATATATGTTAATGACATGAACAATAAATGTTAATACATGTTAATGACGTATAGTTGTACAAAACTTAAAACGTAATGGCGCAAGCATTTTCTTAAGCCTTCAGAAAGTAAACATGGTAAGCTGTTAAGCTAATTACTGCGTTAATATTTATAGATTTATTCACTTTTCATTTCGTGCAGGCAGTAGTATATCATTAAGCAGTAGTATAAAGATAAAAATTCACAGGTTAAAACATTATTAATCTGTGCTCCAGAACTCTCAAAGTCCCTGCTGTATTTATACCTGGAAATGAATGGTTCAGCCTCATGCAGCCCATAGATCAGACAGTGATAGCTTCTTTGAAACAATAATATATGAGGACAATAATGAATCGGACCATCAGGGCAACTGTTAGGGAAAGCCAGTCTATATTAAGAGAATTTTTGAAGTTTATAAAATATGGAACCCAATAAATAACATTAGAGATTCTATACTGGAAAAAAAAAAAAAAAAAAAGAGTCAACGACGAAAGGTTCCTGGAAACAATTATGAGTGAAATTCTGAAGAATTTCTTAGCCTAACGAATAAATTAAGCTTGGACGTCAACAATGAAGAATTGTCAACAATGAAGTTAATGAGTTTATTGAATCTCATTTCGGTCAAATGAATACTTAATTGAGCAACAAGAGTTAAATGAAGTACACAGTGAAAGTGAGGAAGGAGAGTTTGATGATTGGTATTCAACTAACTTGAGACGTTTATAAAGGAAACACCTAAACACGCTTCGTTAACTTAATTCCGTTTAATGATAAATAAATAATATTGATAAATAAATATTCCAGAAGCAATTTTTAATTCCCCCCCATCACTCTGCTTTCGAACATTCAGCATTTGCATACATTTTCAGGAAACAGTTATGTGGTCTAATTAAAGTCGAAGGCCCCCAGTATATCAAATGTTCACGAATCCTTTAGATTTAGGAAAAAAATCTAAGAAAATTGCAATAAAATTGAACTTGAGAATAAGTTATTATTTAATATTAGAAATTTCTTTTGTATTTCTAGCCTCCTTGGTTTTATTTCTTGTTGAAGGATATGAAATAGAAAGCTGCAATCTTATTGAATGCCCTCACAGAACAAGATCTTTCGCTTATTATGAGTCAGGAGATGGAACTTTTAGACTATGTAGGTATGGTATTTTTTATTGTGTACAACTAGCATGGTACAAGGTGGGGTAGAATTTAATATTGCGTTTTATGTTCTGAATTTCATGTTTTTATTTTAAATACATCCTAGATGGTGAACATGGGGTCACTAAAATCCCGGTGAACGGGTTGGAAACCGAGCCAGTTTGCTTTAGAAAGTCCTAAACGAAAGCATCCTTCCTCTTAGTCGGATAGTTTTCAATTGCTTTGCCATAATCAAATAAACCAACCATTTAGGAAAATGAGAACTTTGCTAAATGGTTATAATCAATTTTAATTAACTAATATTAATTTCATATCTTTCTTTAGAAATAATCGTAATGACATGTGAACTAGGCTCTTTCTAAAAGTTGGAAGGTTTACTACTGAAGTCTGCTTTTGGAAGCCAAGTAGTAGCAAAAGTGCGTGAAACAGGTTAAATTTACTCGCTTTTAAGGCAAATAAAGTCGAGGGTTATCTGCTTATGGGGTAGCGATGTCTTCGTAACGGATGTTTTTAGGAAACTTGCCTCTTATCCACACTACACACCAAGAAAACCATGAAAATCAACTTTGCAGCAAGCCCGTTCGCCACGATTCGATTCTTCCAGCTCGAACTACCAGTATTCAGCAAATTTACCGCTCCGGCCGCTGGTCGGCCTGTGCGTAAAACACCAAAACAGAATTACCAAGCACAAGAAATAGTCAAAAATAATTATTAACCAGACTAATAGTTGGAGTAACAGTAATAAACGCAAGAGCTAGCAAATCTGAAACATCTAAAAACAATCCAAGGTGTGACAAGTGTGGCTCAAGGCATTTGTCTTTTACCTGAAAATTTCCGAAAGATCGAAAGCCTACTATTTTAGATGTAAATTAAATCACCTACCAAATACAAAGTTTAAACTTTATATCCGAAATTTCTCCGACGAAAACAACTGTGATTTTACAGCGGAAAAATCTAAATTTGTGCCTACTTTAAAATACAGGAAGAAATCTCTGCTCTGTGTTAAGCCAGTATATGCACAGAGAGAAGAAAATGCTTTATTATATACTCATAAAACATCAAAGTCACTAAAATGTACAAGCTAAATATTCGTTAGATAAGCTTCTGTTTAGTTATTTCCGTAGCAAAATTACTAGAGAAAGCAAGACTTTACTAATTTTCAATTCCAGTGTACACAGCATGATGACTGTACTGTAAAGATGACCTGATCCACTCGATTATTAGAAGGAAAATCTAACAAGAACGAAACAGAGCCTGTTTTGGGAACTAATAGAATAAGCAACCGCGGCTAAGTAGATAGCACGTGAGGAGCCTAAAACAAATCGAGAATTCGAATTCTGTTGATATTTTTTGCTCCTTACACCTTCCTGCTTCAACAGTTTCGTGATTTGTTACAACTTTCGTCACTAACTACTGGGCAGCAATATTTATTTAAATGTACAAGTATAAAAAATTAAGATGTTGTCCATTTTAGCGTATGCATTTTACAGACAGACAGATAGAGGAGTACAGGGGGCACCAAAACATTGCCATGGGAAAAACTGGTATCGCCCCACTGCACTAACCATCTATGGAAGTGCACCTTGATAGGGCACGCTAACGCCATGCTCGGGCATTTGTTTACATTGCAGCATTCATAATACACAGTTATATATTAATGGTGCATAATTTGCATTGCAGACAATATTGTCTAAGATGTACTTACACGGAACTTTGCGTTGATGGATAATCAATAATAAGTTATTTACAGATATATATACATAATTCTTATGTGTTTCGGTTTGGAGCTTTATTGGCTGGGGGAGTGATTATAGTACGTAGTTCGTTATTTGTTTCGTTTTTTTTTTTTTTTTTTTTGTTGAATGGTTCACAGTTCATAGTTCAGCATACAGTTTATGAATTCATTTCATGGTACATAGTGTTGAGTACGTAATACTGGTGTATCTGTCGCACATTGCACAGCATGAAGTAGTTCATAGTTCATAGTTTGAGTAGTATGAGAAAAGTCATGGTTGTCTCAATAAATGGGAGATATTTAAGTGTGTTTTCTAAAGGTACTCCTGTATAGTATGGGGGTGAGAGTGGATATTCTTTTTGTTGCATTTTCTGAACTTGGAGGATTTTTTTGGGGTTGTAAGCTATGGATGACACAGGTCCAGTCCTTGGTGGTGTAGGAAATCAAAAATATTTTTTTATGTTTTGGAAAACTTAACAGTGCTTAATGATGAATCTTCTAAATTCTATTCCAGTATCGGTGGGATGGCGAATGTAATGGGCTGACGTTAGCGGACACTGAAACATGTAATGTGCAGAGTGTCCTCTTATGGATCTATCCGACGTAGCCATATTACGATCATAAAAATACTTGGGGAAGGGACCATGACCCGAGATGTACTCGGTGAAGAAGTAGGTAGATTTTGTGGATTTTCATCAGCCTTGGGTAGTTCGATGTACGTCGTCCTGTGGTTCTTGTTCCCATTGACGTTGCCCACTTTTCATTCGCCATTTGTTTTTAGTTTGTACTTTAGTGCTGATTTTAGTGTTGATTTAGGCCATGGGATATTAAGTTGAGATCCTGTTTGTTCTAGAGCTGCCTGTTTTGCTCGAAAATCGGCCCTTTCATTGCCTTCACAGGTGTTGTGTCCTCTGGTACATGACAGGACAAATTTTTTATTACTTGTGCTTATGATGTCTTGAATTTGCCGGGCTATTGGAGAATTTCTGTGCTGTTGTTTGATGGCACCGATTGTCGGTGATTACGTGGATAGTATCTGTTTTTAAGTAAACTAAGTAGCATAATACTGTTTAGTATGACTATGAGCTCTGCTTGATGTACGTGTTTTGCGGCCGAAGGTTAGGTTAGGTTATTTAATTACGGCAAAGCCTCGAGGGCTATCTGCCTAAGAGGAGGGATTCCTCGTGGAGGAACTTCTAGGAACGGCTCGTCATACACGTTACACATGAGAAACCACGAACCACCATGCAGCACCCGTTCGCGGGATTCGCCGAAGTTACCTTCCACTTCGGAGTGGAGGCCTGGTTTTTGTTTTATGGTGACACACTCTACATATTTCGCATCCGTGTAGCAATAATCATTATGGAGGTGGTGTCGAAGTTGCAATGAGATGTGAGACTAAGCGGATGTCTGTAATTTCGGTGAAATAGCACTCTTGCCAAGAGGCTGCCCAAAATGAAAAAAGCGCAATTCAGGTGCCATGCCCGGTATGCCAAAGGCAAGAGAGACCGCCATGAAACGCAAATAATGGACCAAATCCCACAAGCCGCATAGCATATGAGTTTCTGCCCAGGTAGGGTGACCGGCTATCTCACACCCTACCTCACGCGATATATACATCACGCCCCTTTCCGCGTACTTGCAGAAAGGGGTCTAGCAACAACTAATATGTATGTTGGAAATTGGGCCACCAGACCATTAGTCACGATGCCCCTTAACAGCAGATTGTGCCATCAAATTCCCAACCACCAATGTTCTGCTTCAACCGCTTCATACGTAAAACATAGGCACGCCGCAAAAGCTGAAAAGCATAATGGACAACTAGAAAAAATGGGCATAACCTCTGCGTCCGGAAAGGGCCATTCAAGAACATACTTGAAAACGATTCTCAAAGCTACTAAAGTGCTAGGAACAGCAATGTATGTTACCTAGTATAGAAATGTAGGTTATACAGAGCCCGACGTGTCATTAAGCGATAGCAAGTAATGGACAGCACATATAATACTGATGTAACGGGCATTATTGAGCACACATGTTAAGCGTCTTACATGTGACGTCTCGAATTTTGCAGGGCCAGGGTAATACCTGAGTAGTCATAGAAAGCAGTCCGGGTGCCCTGTCCTGCTGTCACCTTTATATTCGTGCTTTTCTTCATATCTTGAATATTAAAATTTGCTGTTTCGTGGAAGTTTCTTAAGTTGTAGGATCATTGTGGCCAGTACAGTGCGTCGATTTATGTTTGATTTGGTAGGTGGGTCGCCCGCTTTGTTTGCAGGCGTTGGTGGAGGTGTTGAGAATATCGGGTAATATTGATTAAGAAAGGTCTTTGAATTGGTTAAGATTTAATTTTTTTCGCTGTCGGGGAAAAAGGCCCAGAAGCACTTCGTATCATTATTTTTTTAACTCACGCTTTTTAGAATTTCTATGCGATGGTTAGCACGAGGAATATCCTTATCGCCTTAATTTCTTGCGATTTTTGTTCTTTCCTGGAGATGCGGTATCAATAAATTCGGTCTAGGGAGTCCTAATACTTAATGGTATTCACACATTTTATTTAAGTTTCAAATTCCAGAGTGGTTCCTGGTTACTGTTTGCAGCTGTGTATATAAGTGCGTGCGATTTTATGTGTGATATTTGGAGTTTTATTCTATGACAAAGGTTGTTCAACATATTAAGGGTGGTGTTGCAGTTTTCCTCTAGTTGTCTTTGTGTAGATCCTTGGATTGTAAAGGCTACAATCCGTGTGTAATTTGGCCACTGATGATAAAGGTGATGTTCTAGATTTTCGCGCTCATAGACGACCCTTGGGAACATCCTCTAGTTTGTGTTCTGGCGATTGTGGTATTGTCGAGATTACAACGCTTTTGTTCTTAAAATAGTCTATAATCATAAGGTATAGGTTTCTTGGGCACCGCATCTGCTTGAGTGTCTGCTTTACAGCTGGTCACCGGAGAGAGTCGAATGCGTTTTGCAGGTCAAGACATAGAAGAGCCGAATGCATTTGATTGCTTTTGTTTGCTTGTATTTTGAATATTGCTATATCTATTGCGTGAGTGGTTGAGCTTTTGGGTTTAAATCCATACTGGTTGGTACTTTTCTATTGTCTTTATATATATTTTATTGTATTGACCAAACATCGTTCAAGAAGCTTTCCCATGGCAGCATTAGGCTGTATCTCAGAGGGGTCCGTATGAAGAACCATAGGCATTACTTAACGAACCGAACACAATGCTTATAGCGATATTGCCGGCCGTACTGACTTCC